CCAAAAGCAAGTGGGGCCTAAGTGTTTTTGAACAGTTCAATTGTATGGACCGGATTTAAAGGCCCTAAAGCTGTGTTTGGTTTGAAGAAAAAAAAAATAGGGAAAAGAAGGGAAAGGTATAAAAAGTGAAGGTTTTTTCACCTTTCCCTTCCTTATCTTTCCTTCAAACCAAACATAACCTAGATGCATGGATTTCATTTGCACATGAACAGTACAAATATGAATGCAAAGTTGTAAGTATTTGGTTATTTAAATTGAAGCAAATGCAATTTGCACATGCATCAAGGACATTTTAATAACCATTTTCCATGTTTAAAACCACCATAATATCCAATCCCATCAAAACCTTGCAACTTCATTAAAACCAGGAGAATATTGAACTCCATCAAAAATAAAACTAGAAGAAGATGGAATTCTTACTGAGCTAATTCTGCTTCCAGGCCCTATTAAGATACTAAGTTCGATCCACCAAGTTTCACTAACCTAAGAAATTAGAATACGAATCTGTTATATTTCACAGTAGGAGAGAGTAAAATCTCTACGTTGCAACTCCTCTTCTGTAAACCAGTGTATTCTGCCCAAATATATCTGTTACGTTTCACAATAAAAAAGAATGAAATCTCTAGGTTCAGACTTATCTTGTGTCCGACACATGTGTAAACAGGGGTGTCAATTGGGCTGATTTGGTCTAATCCGATCCAGTCAAATATGACCCCATTACAAATGGACTTGGTCCAATCCAGTCCATAAATATTTTGGATCGTTTTGGACCGCTCCAGTTCAATGCCTGGACCGTCCAATTTGTTCAAATTCATGTTAATTTAGATTGGTTCTAAATCAAATCTGGTCCATTGACACCTGCGTTCTTATCTTCTGTTAATGGGATTAGATATTGGCTCAATCCAATATAAATTCATTATAGATGGACAAGGTCAAAATTCAATAAGTTTTATTGGTCAGTCCAATCCGTCCAAATTAAATATATTTACTTTATTGGTCCATCCAAATTAATTTTGATTTGGACGGATTCCAACCCAAAACCGGTCTATTGAGACTCTTATCTGTAAACTGGTTCTTTGCTGAAATGTAAGAGAGTGAAATCTCCAGGATCAAACGTGTATATTACCTTAGCTTAGAGTATCGGCCAATATATATGATATCCTTCTCCGCCAAGCTATTTGCAATTGCTGATGACAAGGACTGAGAGGGTGCTTCTGAGTAGATCATCTAGCTCCCTACTTTCAAGTGATAGTGTGCAGGGAACTCTCTCACCTAAGTCTTGTTTACTGAAGTGGAACCCCCCCAATCTCCGAACGAGAACCAACTAAAAAAGGAGTGTTGGAACCCAACCCAACAGTTGCAGCCCTAGTTATTCTAATAGATGTGTGCGGAATATCACACTTTTTCGATTCTGGATCTTCTGTCCATAACAACTCTGTCCACGTCTACTCACAATATACTACCCATTTATCCAGTGTTCAGTAAAGAAATAAGGGAATAATAATTGGTACCCAAAATTTGATCTGGAGTAAAGCCAAATATTGCTCGATTTAGTGTCTCTCCATAGGTCACTCGTCAGAGAACAACGTTTTCCATTCATCGGAAATTAAGCATAGACGGCTGAGATGAAGAAGGGTTGTGCACATTCTTTCTTTTTACTCAAAGAGATCTGTAAAGAGCAAAGAAAGGAGACTCGTCCGACAAGTTGCAGATGAGATGACCATTGAGGTTTGGGATGGTTGAAGGTCGATGAGAGCAAGTAGGTAGCTTGTGAATTTACCTCAACCATCGATGCAAGCAAAGTTCAATTCAATTTTTTCAAACTTTACATCTATTGTCAATGCAAACTTCTAACATAATAGTATATTTGCATTGATTTACAATACATATTTCCATCTCAAGAATCAAGACCAACCCAAAAGTCATTCCCATCTTGTGAATCAAAATTGCAATTTTCAGCATCAATGTGCCAAACGCATGCGATATTGTTTCTAGCTAGGAATCAGAAAATACACAGAAAGGATGGTATTAGTTATTACACAGTAATTACTTATTACCAAACTCAACAACCCGGATGCCCCCACGAGCTGGACAGATTAAACTATCTTAATTTCCATCATATTAAACAACTGGCAACTAGTCTATTCTATTGTAAATTTGATTATATACTTTGTATGAGAAGATGTTCCCAATGCACACTGAGATGTGCATGTGTGGTGCCCCACAGGTGAGGTGCTGATGTGATCTCGTGTTATATAGCTTATAAGGCGTAATGAATGATTTTCTCTCTTTCCAGAAAAAAAGGATGCCGCATAGTATTTTTTTTTTTTCTCGCTGACCTATAAATGTAGTTGAGCTGTTTGAATTTTTTTATATTTGAAAAGAGATTGTTTTATATATTGGGATAAGTAGACTGTACTCCTAATGAATTTATAATATTTTTCATGGATGAAGAATAAAAAAGAAGAAAAATAGGAAAAAATAGTACCAATGCACCAAACTAATATCCTGTCAACAAAATACATTCCAACACCCTACCAACATGATCTAATATCTATGCATCTGTTTGACATTGATGGTGTTGTTTCAAAAAACGGTGATACATCAGTGCCATGATGAAAAAAATGATGCTCTAGGAAATACCTGTTTGTTTGGAACCATTTTTTTTCATAAAATCAATGCTCCAAACCACACTTTGGAAATCGAGAAGGCATGGTTTGGAGTAATGCCGAATTTAATGTTTTCTCAAATTGCAACTCCTTGCTGCCAATGAGGATGTGATGTGGCAGTGACTTGAACTTCCTATAATGGGTACTAGTGCTGAAAACAGACATGGAACACTTGTAGCAAACAGAAAAGTGTCATTGTTGTTCTAGGAAACGTTCTACCTAGCAGCATTGTTTCTAAATAGAAAAAAAAAAAGACACCATTTTCTCAAACAACAGAAAACGGTGCTTCCAAACCACATATCAGTAGCATCATTTTCTAAGAAAACGGTATTGTATCTGCAGCGTTGATGCCAAACATATACTACATTGCCCCACGAACTGGACAAATAAAAGTATCATTTGATCATATATATTAAACAACTGGCAACTAGCCTACTCTATTGTAAATTTGACTATATACTCTGTACCGAGAACATTGATCATATTATAGCTCACATCAGTGCCCCACAACATCCTAAAGTATATCCCAACCGTGTACTAACATCTCTCATTGGCAAGTATGGGAGATGTTTCCAATGTACATTGAGATGTGCATGTGGGGCGCCCCACAGATGGGGTGTTGATGTGATCGCGTGTTATATAGCTTATAAGAGGTGTATAAATCAAGAACATTTACGTTTAAGTAATGAATGATTTTCTCTCTTTCCAATAAAAAATGGATGTCACATAGTTCTTTTTTTCCTTTTTTTTTGTTAAGTACACTGCAGTTCAATGTAGAATTCTGAATTTCAACTCCCCTTACTCTATTAGTAGCCCCCCCTATAAACCATATCCTGCCCGTAGATTTGGCATCAATCCACGGTCAAGATTCATCCCCCTTGTACGGTGGGGCTAAAAATTTCTGACTTGGACTGATCACTCTATTCTTTTTTTTTTGCTGTCCTATAAATGTAATTGAACTGTTTGAATTTTTTATATTTGAAAAGAGATTTTTTTTATATATTTACTCCTATGAACTTATAATTTTTTTCATGGATGAAGAATAAAGAAAAAGGAAAATAGAAAAAAATAGTATGCACCAAACAAAAGAGGAATTTGGATATCCTGTCAATAAAATACATTTCAATACCCTACTGATCATCTAATACCGTACATCTCATATGTGGCAATTTACACTTTTATGATTGGTCCTAGTCTCATGGTGATGTGCAATATCAAATTATCAAATTGTACTGGTAAAGTGTTGGGATCCCAACTCAACAAAGATAAATACAAGAGTGAGTGAATGGTCATGATGTGAAAGAGAGAGATGTGACAAACGTATATATGAGCCGGGGTCAGGCTTGAAGGACCTGGCTCGAAGCCTAAGCCCAAGAAAGTGTAAAGTTGGGTCTGAAGCTTGGCCCATGAACAGGTTTCAAAATAAAACTGGATGTGTAAGTAGCATTGTAGTCATTTCCAATCCATGATTCAAATTGAAATGGGGGCATTGTTTTTTATTTCCATGACGACAAACTCCTACATTTATATCTATTACTGTATAAACAATGTACATGTGGTCTCCTAATTTGGTCCAGCATCCTGATTTTCTTTTTCTATTTTTATCTTCTTTGGCTTTTCCAAACTCCAAAGTATGAACCCACTTCTACAAAACAATTTTAATAACATATCTATATTAATTTAACAAAGTTTTGAGATTTTTTTTTGTCACTTCAGCTAGGTCTGGGTCCTTCAATATGCTAGACGGTATATAATGCCGATGCCCGCCTTTGGCCTCACGTCCAGATCACCCTCAAAAGCTTTATTCCATTTATTTTTCTCTCCACTAACCCTTTTCTAGGAATGGCACGTGTATATACACGTGCCACTCGAGTGATAAAAAGGACGGAATTGTTGGATCATTTGTCGTTTTTGCTTTGGTATTGAAAATTATTTCCTTTTAACATCATTACTGGTTTTCAAATCTGGACCGGACCGGATGATTGGACCAGAAAACTTGGGATAATCGATTCCGTTTCACCTAAAAATTAACCATTGTTTGGCCAAAACTCAAAAGTCGTTGATTTGATCAGTGGCCCACTGAATTATGCAGTCGAACCGTTGATCGGAAAAAATGATTTTTGACTTTTTTTTTTTTTTTTTTTTATAGAACGATTCCCTGTTCGATCCGGTTTTAAAAATCTCGATTAATTATATATCATCCCGTTTATGTACCAGAATCAACCTTTGCACGTGCGAGGCATAACTGGTAGCTTGAAATTCAAATGATCACTTAAAATTCAAATGTACCGCATTTTCTCAGTTTTAGCTTTTAAGGTCCCATATTCTCGACAAGTAAGAAGTATTCAGCCTTTCTCTCTCCGAACTTTCATTTTCATGGTGTAAGACTGAGTAAGCGAGTAAGCCTAACCATTTCCGACTTGCAGAGTCATGCCATCCATGCGCTTAGAATCAACTTTTGCTTCTCTCAGACAAGCGGTTAGTACTTGAGAGAGAGAAATCTCTCTCGGTTCTTCCAAACCCTTCAAACAACAACCATGGGATCATTGGCCGCCGATGAGACCTGTGGTGTCCAAGAGCAGCCCGACGTCGAGGACAGCAGCCGGGCTGTGAGGGCTCAGTGGGTGCTCAATACTCCTGAGCCACCAGGTGCATGGCGTGAGCTGAAGCAAACCGTTTTTCACAGAGCAAACAAGCTGCGTTCATCTTGCAGCCAGAAAGGTGTTTCGAAATGTGTACTCTCAGTTTTGAAGAACATATTTCCTATTCTCCATTGGGGTCGGAATTATAAGGCAACAAAGTTCAAGAATGATTTGATGGCGGGTTTAACGCTTGCCAGCCTCAGCATTCCACAGGTATATATATAGGAAAGAGTCCTGCTTTGTATTTTCCGATTAAAGCTAGCTAGCTTCTTTTTGTGTTCTTCATTTTCTCTCAACATCTTAAATTTCTTGTAGAGTATTGGGTACGCAAGTCTAGCGAAGCTTGATCCTCAATATGGCCTCTGTAAGTAGTACTTGTAGTTTCAATTTATATCTAGCTAGCTAGCTATTATGATTTGAATAAAAATGTTTTGATATTTGGGTCTGCTCTATATCGATCATAGATACAAGTGTCGTTCCGCCTCTGGTTTACTCTTTAATGGGAAGCTCCAGAGAGATAGCCATCGGTCCGGTGGCCGTGGTCTCTATGCTACTGTCGTCCTTGGTTCAGAAAGTAATAGATCCTGTGGCTGATCCTACGGCTTACAGAAACTTTGTGATCACTGTGACCTTCTTCGCCGGTTTCTTTCAAGCTGTTTTTGGGCTGTTCAGGTGATGAGTTATATCACATGGCAGTGTTTGTTGTATTTTATTCTTTGTTATTTTGGTTTCAGTTTTAATCTTATCATGTTGTAACTGGATAACCACACGATACCTCATGTACAAACATCAATGAAATACAACAAATCCATTTCTTATTCTTCCAAACCCTTCATCTTTTATGGTATCAGAATCAGATTCACTTGGGCCTCCCATTTTTCTTCATCTTCACAGGTTGGGCTTTCTTGTCGATTTCCTCTCGCATGCTGCCATCGTTGGGTTCATGGCAGGTGCTGCAATTGTTATAGGATTGCAGCAACTGAAGGGGCTTCTTGGAATCGATCACTTTACAAATAAAACTGATGTGATCTCTGTCATGCAGGCGGTTTTGAGGTCACTTCATCACCCAGTAAGGAAACCAACCTGTGTTTTTCTTTTTATTTTTTTGGTCTGTGAAGGCTAGTTAGTTAATTCTGAGAGTAGCTACAAGTTTATATTTTATGTTAATTATGCTAGCTAATTTTTTATTTATTTTGCTTGTGTCTGTGTCTGATACCTGCAGTGGAGCCCCCTTAATTTTGTTCTCGGGTGTTCATTCCTGATTTTCATCCTAGCCATGAGATTTGTGGTAAGCAATTAACATCTGTTAACTTCATGCAAGCATCTATATATTATTAATTAATTGTTTTATATGAAATATTCAAGCCCGGTCCCAATACGATTCATGTACAGGGCAGAAAAAACAGGAAACTCTTTTGGGTACCAGCTCTTGCTCCTCTCATATCTGTCGTATTGTCCACGCTTATAGTCTTCGTCACGAGAGCGGATAAACATGGAGTTAAGATTATAAAACACCTCGAAGGAGGAATTAATCCAAGMTCGGTGAAGGAGATAGAGCTCAACGGCCCACACGTTGGAGAAGCGGCCAAAATTGGGTTAATTTCTGCCATCATTGCTCTCACGGTATGTGTTGTTGTAGAATATTGATTTAACTATTCTTACTCCTTATTTTATTTGTTACAAAGTGCATCTGATAATTTGTATATATAAAAAACAGTAGTACGTAGTTGGCGTAACAACCCTTAATTTAATTTTCAGGAAGCCATTGCGGTTGGGAGATCGTTTGCATCAGTAAGAGGATACCAACTTGATGGAAATAAAGAGATGGTAGCCATGGGAGTCATGAACATTGCAGGCTCTCTAACTTCTTGTTATGTAGCCACTGGTCAGTACTCAGTACTAGTACTAGTACTAGTACTAGCAGTGGATCACCATCAATATATATATATAGCTTCTTACTTTCTTTTATATGATCAATTAATTAATTAGAATTGACCATCGATGATGGGTTTAATTGGCTTACTGGATTAACAAATATATTGTATACGTAGGTTCGTTCTCACGCACGGCCGTCAATTTCAGCGCGGGCTGCCAAACAGTGGTCTCAAACATAGTAATGGCCATTGCGGTGTTGGTCGCACTGCAGATACTGACTACTCTCCTATATTTCACGCCTATCGCCATCCTTGCTTCAATTATTCTTTCCGCCCTTCCTGGCCTCATTGACTTCAACGAAGCCTATAACATCTGGAAGGTCGATAAACTGGATTTCCTCTCTTGCATTGGAGCGTTCTTCGGGGTCTTGTTTGGATCCGTCGAGATCGGCCTTCTCGTTGCGGTATACTTTTCTTCACACATTGTTATGCGTATGTACATAAATACGTACTGTATATGTTTATACTTTATACGTACGTATTTGTGTATGTATTTTGTATTTATGCAGAGTAGTAAGGTTCAGTTTCGAAAGAATACAAATACAGTTAAATATGTACAGTGCAAATACCATGGTTTTTAAAACCGAACCGGTCAGGGGTTCGGTTACTGGTTCGAGCGGTCCAACCGTTTGACCCGAATGATTGGCCTATTCTGATAAAAAATAAAAAATTTTAAAAAAATTAAAAAATGATCAAAACCATTCGAACGGTTCAAACAATTAACCAGCTGATTCAACGATTTACTGACCAAAATCAACGGTTTTGAGAGAAAATAGAACCATGACCGGTTCCCAGTTTTTCTAGTCCAATCGTCCAATCCAGTCCAGTTTTGAGAACCATGGCAAATATATACAAAATAATATAAAGTATAATATAAAACTTTGTACTCTACAAATTTGTATTTGTACTCCTTCCAAATTAGAGCTTAAAAAGAAAAAAAAAAGAACATTTTTAACAAGTTGATGTGTCTTCATCAATACATCAATCAAAGAACAACAATATATGGTTGAGGAATGACAGAGCAGTGAGTCCTTTTAACGAGAGGAGGATTCAAGCCTTCAAGGATGCAAGTGCATTAGTGCAACAGAAACTTCTGGGCCATCTTACATTTTATTCTCACGCCTGCTCGATCATGCTTCCTACTTTATATGCCTACTATTCAACTTTGGTTTTCATCCACCCTTCTGTGGTTAATTATTTCATGGATATATGGCAAATGTTGTCCAGATACAATGAATGTAGGAGGATAGAAATGGAAATTGAGATAAACCTTGAAAGTGGAGTTGCAATAACAGCACCCTGGCAGAGAAAAAGCTTCATGTAATATTCCAACATAGATTTGACTTGTGCATCATTAATGAATGTGAAATGGGTTCTTTTGACAATGCTTACTTTGAGGATAAATGAGCCCCACCTGCTAGCTAGATTTTGCAAGTAGATAGGATGTGGTGACTCCATCTTGATCCGTCCAAAATGGGCACTTTTGGACCACCTGATTTGGTAGGTCCCTCCTATCAATTTGCCTCCCTTCAAAGAAATTCTAAGGGGGTTGTCCCTCCACTTAGAGTAAAAAGATTCGATACATACGTCCCTGATGTTTATATGTAACTAAGTAGAAATATTAGGTTCCTGATTCTAACATAGATGGATGAAAGATGCTTTCCAAAGTAGGACATCAGAAGGGGCATATGACATCAAGTTTTTGAGCCATTTGATCCGTTAATGGGCTTGCTTGCAGAATACCATTAATTTTGAACAAAATAGTATAAGAATAGCGACTCTAGTGGGGCGGTCGAATAGTCGGATGAGAGAGAATCATGGGTTTTAGGCTTTTTCGGCCAAGAACAAAATAGTATACCACTAATTCTTCATCTCCTCATTGGACCACAGGACCAGATACCCCTCCTGCTCATGTAGGGCACTATCTCTATCTTCTTCTCTTTACCCCCATTCCTCCATTGGGATAAGTGTGCTCCAATGTTTTGGTGATTGATTCCATGAGAATGATACCTCACATGAAGGTTCAGTTTTTTTATGTTGGATATTGAAAGTCCCTTGATGCCAATCCAAAGGTAAATGATCGCCCCCTCTATTATGGGTCCCTCCTTGATATCACCCCCTTCATTCATTTATTAATTTATTTATTTAATAATTGAGAAGGAACTTTAATTTCCTAAAACAAATAATCGATTTTTTTTTTCCTTTTGATGGGTTATTGGAAATTGTTGAGTGTGGCAATAGGTATACCATGCTTCCAGATTTAGTTTTACATTTTTGTCCCTTATTCTTAATTTCTTATTATTAATGCATAACAATTTGTCTTTCATTTTCAAGTAAAGATGATGGCGTAGGTATCTTCATACAAGACTCCTAGCTAACAAGATGTCACATGTCTCATATATAATATATTCAGTAGTCAGTCAAGCAAACTTGGTTTATCTGATGACCCACAGATGAATGGACCCCATTCATGAAAAACAAAACAAAAAAGAAAACCAACATCATTCGACCTTATTGATTTTGTGTTATTTGTTTGTGAGAAGTAAGATGATTCGATCCCCACAAGGAGTGTGGATATACTAAAAGCAGAAAACCTGCAACCCAATGTGCGGCTGGATGCTATGCTCTTAACAGATTTACACTGCAAACAGACAGACTCTATGTCTGAACAACATGACCAATTAATACAGGTTCGAGATAATTAGAGTCACTGGAAGAAGAATTATATCGACCCTACATTGTTCATCACAAACAGTGAAATAATGGAAATTATTGTACTGTTGTGATATCTACATTATTGAAGAATAAGCATTTGAGTAACAACAAATGAACAAATTGAAAATTTCAATTATACACGGCTTGATGATCATGGTTGTGGACATTGCAGGTAACCATTTCATTTGGAAAGGTGATACTAAATGCCATTCGACCAAGCATGGAATTCCTGGGACAGCTCCCTGGAACTGATATTTTCTGTAGCACCAATCAGTATCCCATGGCTGTCAAGATTTCAGGCACCTTGATAATTCGTATTCACTCTTCCTACTTTTGTTTTGCCAATGCCAATTTCATCCGAGAAAGGTTAGTTTGTATCTGTACAATACAAGAGGGTGAGAGAGAGAGAGAGATGTAAGTTCGTCAACAATAGGCCTTTTTGTCTTTGTTTGTTTCAGGATAATGAGGTGGGTTAAAGAAGATAGTGAAGAAGGAGAAGAGGAAGTTAATGGAAATACGAAAATGAGGGCTCAAGTACTAATACTTGACATGTCAAGTAAGTTATGCTAATCCATATCTCCATTACCAACCACTATATATTGACATTTTTAAGCCATTAATTTCAGTATTTATTTTGTCACTGACTGGTTTGTTCTTTGCTGGGTTTCTCGTGACAGACTTGATGAACATTGACACGTCAGGAATCATTGCATTAGAAGAGCTTCATAAGGAGTTGGTTTCTCGTGGTATAGAGGTAAGGTTTCAAGCAAATCTTATATTTACATCTGTAAGACCTAGCTGCATTTTCTTGTGTTTTATATTACTTAAAAGTGTTTTTTGATAAACTTAATTTTGTCTTCTTTTGGTGTATAAAATAATCATAGAATAAAAATAATCTAGGATTTAGTAATTCATTTATCATAGCATTCAGCCGTTGGGAAGCCGATAACCTACTTATGTTATAGGGTGTTAAATTTATAGGACTACTAGTAGAATAGGAGGGGCTGCAAATCAGATTTTTGAGGGGGATTGTAATCCAAAAATCTTTAAATTTAAACTGCTTCTTTTTTTAGTTGATAATATTTAAAATAATGTTTTTAAAATATTTAAGGTTTTAAAAAGGTTTTGTTGTTGAGGAGATAGATGCTTATAAGACCAAGGCTCTTTATTTTCTTTATCCCAAATTGCCTACGAAAAGTAGATTTTTAAGCAAATGAGTAAACTCTTCCTAGTCCCTACCAAAACAAATGAAGATTTTTAAGTGGCATAACATAACCCTCAAAATTAAGAATACAAGTCGGGTTGGCCCGAGTTAATAGTTTACACTATTTTAGGTTTGAAATTTGAATTGAGGCTTATTGAAATTTTGACAAAATCCCAACCCTAACCTGCAAAAGTTGCACCTTAACCCTCAATGCATGTGAATGTTTCATCTACAAATCTGCGCGGGTGAATTCATCAAGCATTCAGGTAAGCTCGTGGTATGCTTTTCCACGTGAACCTGAGTGGTATTGGCTCTTCGGCCCATGCCGGTTAGCGAGGTGGCATTTTGAGTTAATGATACTCCTGGACTAAGTGAGCCTTTCATGCGAGACCATCTACCTCTCCGTCATTTGGGCCTTTCTCCCTAGTCCCAACTCCTTGGATATGGGTGTCAATTAGACAGAATTTGGTCTAAAATCTGATCCAGTCCAATATGAGTCCATAACAGATGGATCAGGCCTAATTCAATCCGATGAATACTCTGGATCTGTTTGGATCAATTCAAGTCAAACCCAAACCTGGTTCATTGACACCTGTATTCTTATCTTCTATCAATGGATCAGTTATTGGTTCAATCCAATCAATCTAATATAAATCCATTATGGATGGATCAGGTCCAACCCAATTCAATAAATACTTTGGACAATTAAGTCTGGACTGGTCCAATCCAATACATCTTATTGGTCTGTCAAATCCATCCAAATTGATTTTGATTTAAACATGACCCAACCCAAAACCAGTCCATTGACACCTCTACGGCTAGAAATAACAGGGACCATGCCTGGCATTAATTAAATTAGTTTTGAACATGTTCAGGAAATGGTTGAAGAACTAAGAAGTAAAACTTCATGGGGTTATAAAGGCTGCATTCGGTTCGGTTTTGTAGGTGTTTTGAAGGAACGTGTAACTATGATCAACGTAAAACTCTATTCCGATTCAGTTTTGCATGTGTTTGAATGGAGTGGAATTTTATGTCGATAATCGATGTAAAACCTCATCAAACATAAAGTTTTACATCGATAAAACATTTTACACCGATGATGTTTTACATTGATTCCAAACGCAGTCAAAAGTACAAGCCAAAAAACAATAAAGTTTAAATTGTATATATTTTCATGGGTCCCACTGTGTATAACAATAATATAGTTGATGCATCTTGTTTAATTAATAATGGAGGGATTGCTTTGTTTAATTAATTACATGTACGAAGTACGTCTGGTGGATTGATAAAACCTATTTGTGATGCAGTTAGCCATAGCGAACCCTTGCTGGAACATTATTCACAAGCTAAAGTTAGCCAAGTTTGTGGATAAAATTGGAGGAGGATCCTTCTTCCTTACCATTGGTGAAGCTGTGAATACATGTCTTGGGTCGAAGATGGTTAATCTTAAGATTTAGCTTCTAGGGGACAAACTTCTAGTTACCAAAAAAAATAAAAAATGCTGAAGTACTCTAATTTTCGCAGTGGGTGTGTGTACGCACTCGCGTGCAAGTATGTATTTAGTATTTACCTATATATGTTTAAGCCTACAAGGGTAAGGCAGGAGGGTGACTGTTTGGACGTTGGATCACATCCCTTACCATGTATACCAAGGAATGCAACAAACCAAAATAATAAGTTGTACTTTATATATTAAAACTTCGGACTTGGTTGTACTAAGCAATGCTCGTCTGCTTCTATTTCTACCAAGTATCAGTTTTATAGATTTTATTTATAAATCAGGCTCAGTTTGGAAAAGAGTGCAAATACAGATATATACAGTGCAAATAATGTAAAATACAAAGTTTTTTATTATACATTTTTATATTTGTACTCCTTCCAAACTGAGCCTCAAGTTCATATTTGTATCCTTCATCTTTGGAAGGATGTGCTTCATTTATCATAATTAGTTGCGAATCTGAGCCCATCAATATAAGCAACTTCGGATTCATGGAGCTATGCATAGACTCAGTTTTGAAGGAATACAAAGATAAATATGTACAGTATAAGTAGATACAAAATATAAGATTAATACAAATACATACAAAGTAATATAAAATATAAGATTTTACACTGTACATATTCATATTTGTACTACTTTCAAACTGAGAAAGATTTAAACACTTGAGAATTGGGCTGAATTTGGACCGATGAAGCAAATACAGTTTGACCCACCAATATTAAGGTGCAAGTTAGGCTGATTGACTCGACTTTAAGGCCAATTTCAGCCCAATTCTAAGCTCTTCTTATTTTGGGTGGAGACCAATTTTAAGCTCAAGACTTTAAGCTTGGACATAATCTAGTGTTTGTAAATTCGTTGGCCCAGCTGATCAGACCATTAAAACTGTCACCCAGTCATAATAACAGTTCGACTCAACTTCAAACCTGCCAATAGCTTAAAAAGCCATTAACACAGAAACATCAGTACCTAAACAACGGGTAACATGTTACAGACTATTTTATCGGTATTACATATGGAAGCCATAATTTTATCTTTGACTATCGAGCCACTGTTTTTGTCAAAAAAAAACAAGTTTTGACCTCAAAATGGTGCAGCCTCCGGCTTGAATTTTAAAATTCTGATCCAATTTAATATCAAAACCCGAATTTGTCAATCTAAATGAAACTTCAATCCAATACAACTCAAGCCGGAATCAGGCATTGTGCCAGTTCTGGCTTCTATTTATTTATTATTTATTTATAAATAGTGATTTTTTGGTTAATAAGAATAATAAAAGGCTACACAACATGGGGCAGCTCTCCCTAGGAATCACTAAAATAAAAAGAAAACAACCCGCTTTTTTCAAAGGCCCATTTGCACCAGCAACGTGGCCCTCAGTAAGCCAACCAATTCATCACAAAAATTTGCTTCTCTTAAAAATATAGAAGTATTGGATGATGAAGCTTTTTTTTTAATGTATAAACACGATAGCATTCAGCAATCACATCTGCGCAACCCCTTTCAAACTATTATCACTAGTTTTGAATCATCATCTATAATTAGGGTGTCATTGGTATTTGAAAATCTAATTTTGAATTCAAGATTCTACAAATTGAAATTAAATTCAGACATGACTTGATTCTATTCGAAAAATATTTGAATTTGATCGATTATTTAATACTTATATGCATTATATGTAAAATATTTAATTATTTTATATAATTTGTCTATATAATTAAATTATATAAATAATTAATATATTTATCTATTTTATATAAATAAAATATTCATTAATTACTAAAAATAATTAATTGATCGAATTCAAATCAAATCAAATATTTAATCAAATTCAAATTTGAACATTGATTTTCAATGTCCGATATCAAATTTTCTAATCATATTCACATTCAGATATTGCTTGATTCGGCTCAAATTCAATCTATTTACACTCCTATCTACAATAATGATGTTCTTAGTAAAGAGTGCTGCCAAAGCATAAGCTTCAGCAACATTAATTGAACATGACCCCAAAGCTTTGTTTCTTGTCAAAAGAACTCCAACCTCTTCATCTCAAGCTAAGCTAAGCAACCAATGGCACTACTGCCATTATCTTTTGGGGAGGCAACAAAATTTGTTTTTAACCCGGAGGGAGATGCACTTACTCCAATTTCTTAAACCATAGGATTACTTTAAGAAATTTGCCCTTGTTTTTTCTTTTATCTAATTAGGGGTGCTCACAGTTCAGTTAGCCGAACCATGGGCATTATTTAGAAATTGAACTGGTCCTATCGGTTTTTGTGTTTCTTCAAACCAAAACTGAACCGATAGCATCAGTTGACTGGTTTCAGTTTTTGATCAGTTCAGTTCTTTGATTTTTCAGTTTTTTATATTTATAACATATATTATATAAATATGTAAAACTATATTATAAATAATAAATGATATATAATATATTATAAATAGATAGTTATAAATATTATATATGTATATTTATTTGTATAATGCATATACATTTATATATAATATATAGATAATACGTGATATATATTAAAAATATATAATATACATGTAAATATATATGCCGGTCGGTTTGGTAAACTGCTGGTTTTTTTCTTGGTTAATCGTAAAAAAAACAGTCCATTGGTTTTTCAAAAAGACCAAACCGATCGATTCAACTAACCACATTTTTCGGTTCAGTTTTCTTGGTTTGATTTTATTCGATTTTTTTATTTTTTTTTATGAGCAGCCCTGAAAAAACACTTTTTGAAATCAAGTTTTTGGCCTAGTGCTCTAACGAAAGTTTTCATAGTTTTCTTTAAAATTGGCTGACAAAAAGGCTATGTTTGGTTTGAAGGAAAATGTAGGAAAAAAAGAAAAGATAGGAAAGCCTATACAAGATTTGCAAAAGTTTCCATACTTTCTTTTCCTTTCCTTACCTTTTCCTTCGAATCAAATATAGCCTAAATTTTCTTTCTTTCTTTCTTTCTTTCTTTCTTTCATATTGTGGGGGCTCCATAGGTCTGCACACGGGGAAAGACCATAACCCCCACAATCCTGGTACAGGTGCGATTCAAACGGAAGTCAAATAAATTTCTTTTGTAGGTAGTGAGGAAGACTTTTACTTGGGAAAGTGCACAATTAGACTTTTACGTCAAAAAGTTTAAATTTTATTTAACTTGGCCAATCTAAAACAAAGAAAGCGGAGCAGGTAGTGAGGAGGATGACTAATTGAACGAGTAGATTACACACAATCAGTTAATTTGGATGGAAAACGCATAAGATGTTGGTTAATTATTCCAGGTTAAAACTCCTCTTGACATGCAAATATTTTATTGCGGATCGGAACTATATTTTCTCTTCAAGTTTCAACTATATATATTTGCTTGTCATTTTTGTGCTTTGTCTCAATCAATGAATGTGTGAGTGTCCACTGTCCACTTCAATCATTGATTTAAAATTATATAGATGTATGTTTGGTCAAGTCAACATTCATAACAATTAAACAACTAAAATACCACCAGTAGTAGTTGAGATGGTCACTACGCATTCCTCTAGACAATGGACACTTGGGATCAAATTGTATGAATGCAAGCTTTCCTTAGTAAGGTCAGTGGATTAATTATATGCACATGTAATACGAATGTTCAGACAACGGGATCGAGTATAGAGTTGGAAGAAGGGAGAGGTTCGATTGGGGTCAAATCGGAGGTTGAACCATGACGATATGGTATATATATATATATATATATATATATATATATTAGGAGTCATATAAATATTATATAATATATTTTGTAATTCTTAATATATTTAAATATGGTGAATAGATGGTAAGTTTCTTAATTTTTAAAACGAAGGATTAGGGTTTAAGCCTTTTAACTTACATTTTCTTTAAAATATATGTATAATAATGTAATATGTATAATAAATAATAAAGAGGTGGATTAGTGGTACTTAAGTAATTTGTGAAAATAAGAGGTTTTGGGTTCAAATCTTGTTAATAACATTTTAAAATTTCACTTATGTATAGACTTGGGCAGTTTCATGAAATCGGGACCAGTTCATTGGTTTTCTGATTCAACCGGCTAGTCAGTGGGTTTTGAGCAAATCCGGTACTTATTGGGTACCGAACTGGTCAGAGTCTCGGGTCATTGTTCAACCAGCCAGTCCGGTTGGTTGAACCCGAGGAAAACAACTATAACATTGTTCATGTCAACAGCATTCTTTTTATTTTGAGTTTTTTCTATTTTTGTTCTTTTTAAAATTGAATAAAATAACTCAAATAACCACTTATTTTTAGGATTTCTCTTATCATCTCTTCTTATTGACTCGCCACAAATTTTCTCTCCTATTTCCCATCGACTCTTCCAATTATCTCTCATTAATCACATCATTACTCTCTCTCTCTCTCTCTATTATTCCATTAAATGAGCATGGATCCCATGACCACAACATATTGCTCAATGCTTTTGAACCATCGTTGACCCGGACGGTCAGACCGTTTGGCCCGGAAGCCATTTAAGCAATTGGTTCCACTTAACCCTTAACCCATTGACTTGGTCTGAGAACTATTGACCCAGACGGTTGAATCGTCAATTCATTCGACCCGAACAACAATTCGTGGGTAAACATAGAAAGAGAAGAACATCTCAGATCTAAGACAAGAACAACCTCAGATCCGATATCTAGGTATAGCAGGGAGAAGAAGAAAAAAAAAAGAAAAAGAAGATTGCAGAGGTTGGAGACTGGAGAGAAATCAGATCTGAGATCTACATTTCTGTTGTCGTCACAATCGCCGTCACCATTGTCATCACCGTCGCCATCATCATTGCCAGTGAAAGTTGAATCCTCCTCCTCTTCTTCCCTCCTTCCTTCCTTCCTTCCTTCCTTCCTTTCTTTCCTTTCTCTCATTCCTTTCATTTTTTTTCTTTTTTCTTCCACCTTTCTTTCTTTCTTTCTTTCTTTCTTTCTTTCTCAGCTACAACCACAACCTCTTTCTCATAAAAACTAAAATTCTAAAAGACTAGTACCAACATTTGCCCTAATAATGTAAACCGTTTGAACCATTCAACCCGGACGGTTGAACCGCTGACCTAAAACCAGTGGCCACAGCAGTTACATTTCCGATATATATTATCCATATATTATACATAAATATATATTTATAATATATAATATATTATTTATTATCTATAATATAATATATTATATATTTTTCAAGTATTTGTATTATATATTTGTAGAATTGTTTGTAATACATATT